ATCACACACAACAACAGCATCAACAATAACAACAACAACATCAACAACACCAACAACAACATCAACAACAACAGTGTCAACACTGTAGATACCAACGCCACAACCCACAGCGCAAATATCACTTGCAAATGGAACATCATCACAAGAAGCAAGAAGAACCACAGCGATGATAATAATAATAATAACGTTAACAATAATAATAATAATAACGTTTTTAAATATTGTAAAAATAATATTAATTATGTAGTTAATTAAATAAATTAATTCACGCTTCTCGGCTGAGCGTTGATATTTACCTTAACAACCATAATATAAACAATCTTGCCGTTAAAAAAAATTTAAAAATCGCGTTTTATATTGTTTATAGTTATTAAATTTATTTTATTGGTTTTCTGTTTTAATTAAATAATTTATATAAATTAATAATTACTTGTTCCTTCTTATCAAATATCTTACATACCTTATAAAGTATGCACTGAAGATAAGTTATCTATAACTCGAAATAGCTATTTGCAAATTTATTTAATAAAAAAAATTTTTTAAAAACTATAAAATGTCTAATTTCTCCGAAATTAATAAATTAAAAAGAAATATAAAAAAGTTGAACAATGTTGAAAGTAGTGTTGAATTTTTGAAATATATATATATATATATATATATATATATATATATATATATATATATAAACATCATCTTGTATTACAGAAATCACATGTCAACTGCATACAAAGTAGATGAAGCTATTAACATATCATCAATAAAAATGTCACACCAACTAACCCAAATAGTAAAGTTAAACTCCGAATTTATTACAACAATAAAAAGACGTCTCACCTAATACTGAAAAACAACTGTAGACCTAGAGATAACTCTGTGTTAAAGCGTAATCACATTATATATGAATTTAATTGCGCCTTTGACGGCTGTGCACGTCAACATGACTCATATATCGGGATTACTACTACCTTATTGACTAGAAGGCTTACGATGTATAAACAGAGTGGTGCTATCAACTCTCATTTGGACTCAACACACTCAATCACTATTAGCCGTGAAATCCTCGACAGCGACACCAAAGTAATAATCCAGAACAGCAACTACACGCATCTTAAAATCAACAATGAAAACAAAGAAGTAATAAAAACTAGCATTGTAAATAGTAACAAAGAAGAATATGATGCTATCGATGAAGAAAAGGAAACCAACGAAGATGGACCAGCCAATAAAGTATATAAATATATATAAATTTATATAGTTTATATATAAATATATAAACTAAATCGCACTGATGATTCATTCGGAATCGAAATATGGCCTTATTTGCAGCATGAATTAGGAAAATAAGTTTATTTTGAATTTTAATAAACTAAACGTCCACCAAAAAACTTTAGTGAGAAAAATCGAAAAAACGAACTACAAACATATTAACGCCAAACATTCGGTAGAACTTATAGAATATTGTATAAATTATAGTCTATTACCAACATATAATTATATTTATATATATAATTGTATGAATTCGTCGTTTCAATTTTCCTTAGTAGAATTTTCTAGAAATTGTTCAATTTATTTAAAATAGAAATAATCAAGTTCATCATAAAAATTTAATAAAACTGGTGTTATCCAAATTCATCATGCAGATAGGCCTTATTTCGATACAAATCATCTTCAGTGCAGGTTTGGTTTACATAGTTGTTTTAAACAAAACAAAGTTAATTCTTAGTTGGTGCCAAATTCTTCATCTTTGTAGTTGTTATTTTTTGTCTTTCATTGTTATTGAGATTAGTAGGCATCGAGTTGGAATAACTGGCAATTTAAAATTGGGCAACTGATGAGGGACAAAATGCGTCTAGCCTAGAACGAGTTAGGTGTTCACCTTTGGTCGGGGTGAGAGACGGTGTACTGTATGTACTTGTACTGGCCGACCGTATTTGCGGGAGCAGGTCGGAAATTCTCACCCTTCATATATCTACTCACGTAGTTGTAGATTCATTATGATATTTATATATATATATATATATATATATATATATGTTGGTAATAGACCATAATTTTTACAAAGTAATAAAAACTAGCATTGTAAATAGTGATAAAGAAAAATATGATGCTATCGATGAAGAAAAGGAGACCAAAGAAGATGACCGGCCAATAAAGAAACCTGAAACCTAACTTCCATCTAAGTTCATTTAGACAAAGTCAATATTATAAACATCAAAAAGCACTGATGATGATTCATTCGGAATCGAAATATGGCCTTATTCGCAGCGTGAATTCGGAAAATAAGTTTATATTGAATTTTACTAAACTAAACGTTCACCAAAAAACTATAATGAGAAAAATTAAAAAAACGAACGACAAACAAATTAACGCCAAACATTCGGTAGAATTTATAGAATATTGTAAATATATATATATATATATATATCAATCTTCGTTTTGTGTCCAGAGACCCGGTTCCCAGAGGTAGGACGTTGTTTTCTTTGCCATCAACTTTTTGCGCCAAATTAGACGATCAGTTGTATCCATTTCATTTAAATTTAGAGCTTTCATGTCTTGCTCGATTGTTTGCGACCAGGACTTCTTTGGACGGCCTTTGGGACGTGTGCCAGGTACTTCAACATCTGCAAGAGAAGTTATGGCACTGTTTCTACTTCGTTTGACATGACCAAACCACCTCAGACGGTGTTGCCGGCATTCGTCCTTTATATCATCTAAACCAGCACGACGCAGGATTTCGGTAGATTTAATATGGTAGCTGTGGATTGGATGGGTTCACCAGTGTTCAATGCTTTGGTTTTGCTAATGTTGACTTTGAATCCATGATCGGCGAGTCTTGTGTTCCAATCTTCAAACATCTGTGCTGCATTCTGCTTAGACGTCATCAGCATTTATTAGATTCCAAATGTCACCAGTGCGTATCGGTTTTGTGATTTCTTCCATCACTGTTATAAATAACACTGGACTGAGAATCGAGCCTTGGTGAACTCCAACGCCGAAATGCATCTGTGTTTCTAACCGTTGTGCTGACAAGAGTCTTAGTATTCGTATACATTTCGATCGCAAGTCGAACAAGATATTCTGGAATGAGTTGTCGACGTAGATTCCACCTGATTGCTTCACGGGGAACTCGATCAAATGCTTTTTCAAGGTCTACAAAAATGTGTGATAGTTCTCTCCATTGTAGCTTGATCTCATCTTGTTCAAGAACCATCTCATTTTTGTCATTTTTGATACATGTGGCACCAACTATGTCTTTTTTGTACGCTTTGCTTGTTTTGCTTTACGATACAAGTGTCCCGTTCATGCTGACGTTTTGTACCAGTTTTCCCACAAACTGTAGTTGCAGCGTTTATCAAAACGGTTTTGTATGTACTCCAATCTGTACTGGCTTGGTGGTCTAACTGTGTGGCGACAATCTGTTGAAATTTTTCTCGATGAATATTGCTTTTCAGCTTCTACGTTTCGATTCTCCGAGGCATTTGTTTAGACTTATGTTTTGACAGTTCGACAACCAGGTCTGCCATAAGGAGTCTATGTTGGGCGACACATGATTCGCCAAGTATAAGTTTGACATTTTTGAATAGCCTTCGGTGCTGTTGCTTGACAGCGAAGAAATCAAAATGCGTGGCTGATGGTCCACTTTTGTATGTTATGAGATGTTCCAACCTCTTTTTAAAATATGTGTTCGGCAAACAAAATCCGTGACTTTCAGCAAACTCAAGGATGCAGTTGCCATCTTCATTCCGTTTTCCATAGCCAAAACCGCCATGTACTTTGTCAAAACCATCTGTTTTCTCTCCAACGTGGCCATTGAGATCGCCTTCAATCAGGATTGTTTCAGATTTTGGTATTGTTGAGATGGTGTCAGAGAATGCAGCCCAGAAGTCATTTTTCATCTCTTCTGATTCGCTTGTCTGTGGTGCGTAAGCAGAAAAAATAATCATTGTTTGCTTTTCTATGCGAAGCTTGATCCACATGAGAGGTGAATTAATCCTTTTAATATCCAGTATTTCTTGGGCTAGCGGTTCTCTGACAAAAATTCCAACACCATTTTTGGCCGTCTTTTGACCATTCCAGAATAGTTTATATTTTTCTTTGTCTGAGTTGACATGACAGACACCATTCGATTTCCATCGGGTTTCCAGAAGGCAGCAGATGTCAATCCTTCTACGCTCGAGCATTTCTGCGATTTTCATGCTGCAGTATATATATATATATATATATATATATATATATATATAGTAATTTGTGAAATCTACCAAAATTCTAGCGTTGGATATTTTTTTTATTACATTTCTCGATATTTTAACCAAAATTTTGTCGTCATATCTATTTTCTTAAAGTTAGAATAATATACAGTTTTCCAATTCATTCTTGAGTGTATGGGACCTATTTCGATTTTTCAATCATCTTCAGACCTAGTTGCACTTTATATAAAGAAATTACGAGTACAAAACTTGAACAGAGTGAGCAGGAAATAAAAAAATATTCCGAAGTTGTGAAAGGAAAAGTTGACATCGGACATCAAACAGTATATACAGTATTGTATTAATTCTACCAAATTGTTGGCATTAATCAATTTAAAGTTTGTCGTTTCAATGTTCTTTACTAGAATTTTCTGAAAATTGTTCACTTTGTTGAAAATAGAATTATCCAAGTTCATCATAAAAATTTAAAAAAACTGTTGTCATCCGAATTCATCATGCAGTTAGGCCTTGCTTCGATTTTTCATAAATCAACTTCAGTGCAACTTCAGGTTTATATAGCTTCTTTAAACAATGCAAAGTTCTTCAGCAAAGTATATTAGTTTGTATCGTATTCTTCATCTTCGTTGTTATTGTAACTTTGAAGCGTAATCATGTAATATATGAATTTAAATGCTCTATTGACGAATGTGCGCGTCAACAACATTCGTATATTGGTGTTACGACCACTTCACTATCAAGACATCTCACAATGCATAGACAAAAAGGAGCCACCAAATCTCACTTGCAATCAACATATGCAACTCAAATAACCCGCCAAATTCTTGACAACAACTAAAAACAATTTATCAAACCACCAACACAATACATCTAAAAATTGCAGAAGTTGTCCTTATAGATATCAATAAACCTCAAATAAACATACAACAAAGAATCATTATTACATACATCATTACCAACTTGACGTCTTAATATTAACAGATAAAATATTATTCTGCATAATTATTGCTATTATTTTACAATAAATCTGGAATCTTCGACGAAACTTTTCATTTCTTTTTCAAAAAAGTTTATTTAAAATTTTTTAAAGTTAATTTATAATAGGCAGTTTAATTATTTAAAAAAAGTTTAATACCTGGCATTGTCTGAAAGTCTCAAATAGCATCTAACAACATGCTTGAGTAATCGAGCAGACTGTTCTTTAGAAAGCTGAATTACCATTTTACCCTTGGTTGATTTAATAAATTTACATGAACTTTTTATTGTTAAATCGAAAGTTGATGAAACAAGTTCAAAAAATCAAAAAATAATATAATATATAATTCATAATATATAATATTATAATATATAATTAAAAAATAAACAAATTTTATATAAGACGTACAGACGGTACCACTTTTTTAAATGAATGACCATGCTTAGAGATTATTATTACTATTATTATTGTTTGTAAGCGCCGTTTAAAAAGATCTCAGAGGCGCTAACGATAATTGCAGTATATTGCGTAGCACTTTATTAAAGCAATGCAATGAATGGAAAAAAAGACATTAAAACGGGTAAAAGATTGGACAAAAAGATGGTGTTTAAACATTTTACGAAATTTAATAAAAGACAACGCAGATCACGAAGGTCTTAAGGTAAACCATTCCGGACAGCAGGACCAAAAGCCAAGTTTATGTCAAGCACAAACAGTAAACCTGAACTGTCAGAGCGCAATGTTTGATTCAGCTGTGGCATTGTTATGGAATTGACTCTGTCAGTTAAATATTTATGAGCGACTCCCATAATACATTTAAAAAACCATTAAACATATCTTGAAAAGTAACTATTCAATAAACCGGAAGCCAGTGAAGAGCAAAAGGAATTGGCTTAACGTGACTGAAATCAACCTTGCAGCTCAATTTTGAACCGACTGAAGTCTAGATATATTTTCACCAGAGGCCGTAATATAGACTATTGCAATAGTCTATTTTTGAGTGGATAAAGGAATGAACAAGACATTGAAGAATATGCTTGTTTAAAGATCGTTTGATGAGCCTAAGCTTACTCAATTGTCCAGAGCATTCTTTTAAAACTGCCCTAGTATGAACGTTAAGACATGTTAATATCAAAAACAAATCTCAGGTTGCGTGCAGATGTGTAAAACTCAATGTCATAATCGCCAAGTCTGTTAGATTCAATGTTCATTATTTTTAATTGCTGCCTAGTTCCAACCGGTAAAAACTGAGTTTTTGATTGATTCAATTTAAGTCTATTTGCCATCCTCCACTCATTAATTTCTAAGAGACATGATCTGAGTCTACAGACCAGATCATCAAAACGATAAAAGGAAAAATATACCTCTGACCCTTAAAATTTAATCAATACAGTTGTTTATGCCATTTTTGTTACTGGGAGAAAATCAGAAGACAAAATGAAAAGAAAATTAAATATAGTAAAATGTTATTTAAGGATATGCACGGCAAAGCTGTAGAAATAAAGAGGATAAGAATAGATTTTGGGATGAGATAAATGAAATGGCTGAGATAGCTGGAAAAGAAATAATAGTTTTATGAATGACTTGAATGGACATGTTGGAAAAGAATGTACTAGTTATGAACAAGTGTATAGTGAAAATGGGTATGGAAAAAGGCGAAAAAATATTATATTTTAAAATCGACTGGAACGTGTGGATTTAAAACACCTAGTATAAGAAAGTAAAAGTTAATGATGTTTGAATTAGGGGATATCAAATCAAATCAAATCAAATTTTATTTAATCAATCCAAATTAATCAAGAGTACAGTAGATGTCATTTTGGCAAAAAAAGCCACAGCTGATTTAAAAACGTTAGCATTCTCTAATGAAGTGTGTTAAGCAACTGGCGGGAAGGTAAGACAAAAAAGATTACAAAGTCTAGAATTAAAATTTGGAAATTAAGGAAACCGAAACCATGGAAGCATATTGAACGGGGAAGAAATAGGAAGAGACAGGATGTTGTTTGAGTAAATTGCATAAAGGATAACAAAGGCGTCATTATTTTAGACCCAGAGAGGAAAGCAAATTATGGATGAAGTAGATGGGATATAGACATCGCTGTAGATACAAATGAAGTAGACATTGGGTAAATAAAGAACAAGACAAGACCAAAGTTATGTGAAAGAGGTAAATTCCCCTGTGCGGTGTGTGGTAAAGATGTCGAAGGAAATTCCATACTGTGTGTAAAATGTGACAAATGAACGCACAAACGATGCTGTGGTTTGAAAGGAGACCTCGACAAAAGTAAAGATATTAATAAGCGAAGGTGATACTGGGCACTCGGGAAATTTGGGATTTGAAAAAGTGGTGTTCTTTTGTTATATAGGTGATATGCTAAGTGAGGAAGGTGGTCGGATGATGCGGTCGACAATATAATAAAATTAGGATAGAAAAAATTATGAGAAATTACTTCAGTGCTGTATTCTAGAGGTATACCATCGGGTCTGAAGGGTAAGGTATATAGAGCATGTGTAAAAAGTTGCCTGTAGTAAGGGTGCGAAACTTGGGCTCTATCGAATGAAAACTTAAGAAGGCTGGAGAAAATAAATGCAAATGTTGAGAAGAATAATGGGAATATCCTTAAGGAATGGTCTAAGTAATGAGGTAATAAAGAAAGGGTTGGGAATAGATAAGTAGCCAGATGGAATTGGAAGAATTAGACTGAGATGGTTTGGTCATCTGAAAAAGAAAGCACATGATGACTGGGTAAAGAAATGTAGAACTTACACATACTTTATATAACTTAGGGGTCTCGTAGCCGAGTGATTAGCGTGTCCGTCTACTACTCTCACGACCCGGATTCGAATCCTGCAGTTTTATCCGGGTAGTCGACCCTCGGCCAACCCAGCCGTCCATCCTTCCGAGGTTGGTAAATGGGTAGACAACGTAAGTTGTCGCATGTTGGTCGGCCGAGTAGCCGAGTGT